TTCCAGGGCCCCAGAGACCCTCAGACCCCGCCATCTGCGGGCTTCAGAGTCGCTCTTTCCGCCTTCCTAGGGCTCTACCCGCTTTCGACCCGAGCCCCTACCTCCCGGGACCCGCCAATCGCCGTGCTGCGGAGGCTGCGGGACACCACCTGTCGTCGGAATGGGGGTCAGGGGGATGGTGTCAAGGGATTTGGCCCCTGGGGCTCCCCCCGACCCCCCCAAGTCCTTACCTCGTTATACTCGGAGAAATCCAGCACCGCCCGCACCGGAGCGGAAGAGGCGACGGAGGCGAAAATGAGATGCGGGAACTGAGGGAGGAGAAATCGTCAGCCTGGGATCGGGGAGATGAGACCCCAAATCTTCCCGTCTTGTGTCATTGGTTGTGAGGTTGCGGGCAAGTGCAAGCCTTCTGGCCTCGGGGTCTCGAGAAGAAAACCTGAGGAAAACTTCTCCAGGCTGGAGTTGCCGGGGTGGGGAGGGTATTGATAGGGGTGTTCCTTTTATTGGGAAGGGGACCCCGTAGCCCGACACCCCCTCCCCTGCCCGCCCCGAGGAGTCCCGGGAACCTTCAGCCGGGCCCAGGCGGCCAAGGAGCCGGCATAGGAGCCTCCGAAGCAGATCCAGGGGCTGGAGGAGGAGACGTTGAAGAGGCGGGAAAGTGCGAGGCGAGCGGAGGCCACATCTGCCAGCCTGGGGTCAAAGGGTGGTGGGGGGATCCCACTCGGTGCTCGTCACCGGGAATCTTTAAAGACTCCCCCATTACACGCCGGGGGTGGGGCGGGGTGGGGAGATCCTGTGACTTGAAGGGAGGAGGGTCTGGCCAGAAGCTGGGCTCCTTTCCCACGAGGTGTTTCTGAGGGCGCCCGATCTGCATCCATTGCCTTGGCTAGGGAAGAGCCTCTGGAAAGCTTCCACCCTCCTTCCCCTCAGGATAGGTGGTAGAGGGGAAAAATCTCCGCGGCAGTTTAGGTGGAAGTGGACAAACAAGGAGATGGTGGGGGCAGTTCAAGAGAACGACTGTAGAAAAGGAAAGGTCACCTATGCTCGGTGGGTTAGAAGAGGAGACTCAGGGGAAATGAAACGTTGGGATTTGTCTAACATTCTCTTTTCCATCCTAAGAAATTACTTTCCTCCCCAAGCTTTCTGAAATAGTTTGCCTGTTAGCTGTATCATTAAGAGTTAGAAACTGTGTAACCTGTGGAAAATTGAGAGAGAAACATAGAGGCAAAGGGATAGGTGGAAATCCAGGGCTGGAGCATGAGGCAGAGAAAGGCAGAGAGAGCCACCCAGTAGAAGGAGAGCTAGGTCCTGTGGGGAACCACAAAGCAGGAGGCGGTGGGGGCCCTTCATGGAGCAGGGGGCACCGAGGAAGCAGTGAAGGAGACATTCAAATGATCTGCAGGTGTCTACTCCCTGCAAAGAGAAGAGTTCAAAGACTGGAGGCATCTACATGGGGCCCCTGAGTGCCTGGAGCCCCATGAGTGTGAGAAAGAGAGGGTGAGAATTTTAACTGGGGAGCCAGAACCTATTGGACCTTGTTGCTTCTCTAAAGATGGTTGACTTTACTCTGAGATGAGAGGCATAGGGAGAGTCGCAATCTGTTTTATGCATCAATCTGGCTTCATTTGGACAATAGGCTGAAGGGTCAAGGACAGAAATGCTGAGGCCAGAGTGGAGGGTACAGAGTAAGGTCATAATCCAGGTAAGAGACACCAGGAGTCTGGGCCTGTAGAGCCCAGTGAAACAGAAAGAGGGAAGACTATCATATAACCCAAAGACAGGGAGGGACAGGAACCCAGAGACAGAAAGAGAAAGAAAAAGATACTGCAGGAGAAAGAATACAACAGATATAACCAGGGACTCAAGCTCAAGGCAGTGGAGGAGACAGAGATGCAGACACAGACGCCCGCATTCCCTGCACACACTCACGCGTGGCGACTGGACAAGTAGCGGAGCTGGGCCACGTCCAGGCCCCCGGGAGGTATACTCAGGCCATAGAATCGGTGCTCCAGGCCTATCACCAGGGCCCCCAAAGCTGGGGCCAGCGCTGCGGGGTGCCCTGTGAAGAGTGCAGGGCAGGGTGGAGGTGAGCTGGGGTAAGGCCTTGTAACCCTGCAAAACTGTAATGTGCTCCTCCCTCTCCCATCCCTTCCCCACCTCCTTCCTCTGTGTGACTTTCCCCACTCTTGCTTCTCACCTGTCATCACTGAGCCAGGCCCCAAGCTGCCCTCACCCCCCAGGTGCAGGAACACAGGTCCATCCTGGCGGGCCCAATACTGGTCATTCACCCAGTACCGCTGAGAGGTGGGGTGGGGAAGAAGAAATGCACTGTGAGGGCTCAGACAGATTCTGTTTGTTCCAGTGTCACCTAATGGATCCGAATGCACTCAGTAGTGTGTAAAATAGGCAAACTTGTGTGTGTGTTCATTTCTCTTCTCTTTGTCTCCTCGTCTAGAACATGAGATCTCCAAGGGCAGATACTTTTGTCTGCCTTTTCACTCTCCTATCTTCAGGTCAAGGATAGAGGCTAGCCACATGCTGGACACTGGCTGGATAGTGAAATAATGATTATGGAACAAGTAATGAGTCCAGTGACTTAGGAGAATGGTCTAAATAAGATGACCTTTGGAGGCTGTGGATCAAAAAAGAATGGAAAACAGTAAATTAGTTCATTCATTCGATTAATAATCTTCAAGTGCCTATTGTGAGCCAGATCTTTTTCCAGAGCTGAACTGAATTTTGCTATACACTGAGACCTGGTGGTGGGTTTAATGTCCATTCTGAAGGACAGAGAGAAGGAAGGACTGAGGGACAGAGATCCTGAGAGGGACTAGTAGAGAGAAGGAAAGCCTGAAAGACAGGTCCTGAGGGTCAAAGAAAGTGGGAGACCGAAGTGAGACAGGAAAGGACAGAGGACAGAGGGGTTAGGCTGAGGATCTCAAGGAATACTGACAATAGGTATAAGGTGAGAGTGAGGGACAGGGAGATGGAGGGGCTGTGGTGTGGGACAGAAAAGAGACAGGAGAAGGCAGAGTAGGACCTGGACGCTCTCTTGGCCTCACCTGCAGGAAGGATCTTCCATCGGATGCGTTGAAGGGATCCAGCGGCTGCTCCAGCCACCTCTCTTTGGGGAGGGCCACAGCCCCAGGGCTCAGCCCCAGGCCAGAGCTCTCCTGAAGCTGCTGGATGTGCTCCCGAAGGCGCCTAAGAAGGGAAGCTGTGGGGCATGGAGAGGCAGGAGTCAGGCCAGGCCCCTTTAGGGCCCCCTGACCCTTAAGCTCTCCTACCTGGAGTGGAGGATCCCCAGAGGGCAGCCAGGAGCAGGAGGCCCAGCCACAGGGCAGACCGGACTGGCATGCTGTCCAGGGTTCTGTGAGAGCCTGGAGCTTGGGTGCTCTTTTCTTCCCACTCGCTGAAGACCTTTATCATGTCCCCTTGGTGAGGCTTTAACTTCAGGCACTCGGGTTTCTTTTCAGACCCCCACCACTCCCAGGACAGGTCAGGCTTCTGTGGGAATCAGTAAAGCGGGGCAGGGACGCCAGAGTCTGTCTATAGAGTCTTGCTGAGGTGGCACCTGAATATCCAATTTCTTCTCTCTCAGCCCCTTGGTCTTCTCACCCCCCCACCCCACCCCCTCCGTAACATCCTCTCACAGGCCTTAGTCTCCCTTCTCTGTCCTTCCACCCTCTTGACCTCGGATTCCCCTCCCTTCTATGCTTTCTTTTTTCTGGTCTTCAGTCTTCACCTCAGGACCACCTCTTGCCCCCTGTTCCCCCTTCTCCTCAATACCCTTCAGCAGTCCTTCATCCCTCAGTTTCCAGACCCTCAGTCTCTTGCTCTCCCTCTAAACTCTACCCCCAGGGTCCTGCGTCCCTGATCACCACAGGAGAGGGGACTCTTGTTTAAAGTGACACAGCCCAAAAGGTCCGCCACCTCCCCCCCCTCCCTTGTGCTTTCCTTGGGAGTTTGAATTTTTTCCCCTTCAACTCGACCCCCTGTAGATGAAGCTATGGCCAGAGAAAACTCTGGTTTTCTCCAGAACCTCAGGCAATAATGAAAAGAACTTGAATTCAATAAACTTCATTTTCTGATCTGCATCTTCCTAGTGCCTGCCAAGTAACCTGAGGAGGATTTGGACCCAATGGAGCAGCCCTGGGCAGCAACTTGTCTGGGGAAAGTTTGTGAGGTGAAGGCAAGAACTCTGGGGTACAGCTGGTAATGAGGAGCAAGGTGTGGGAGTTCTGGAGCATGAGGCTAGGAGGGGGTGACACTTCTTTTTTGGGTCACTCATATTTATAGCTCTTGAATATGTAAATCCCATTGTTGACTAATCTTTTACATGCGGTATTTGACTTTTTGAGGGACTTTTAAATTTTTGTTTGTGTTCCACCAAAACTTTATTCAAGGTCACTGAAATTTAGATTTCATAAAATTTCCAGTATACAAAGTATTATCTTTGTTTTTCTAATCATTAAAGAATGTAAAAGCCATTCTTAGCTCACTGGCTTTAAGCAGATAGGTAGCGAGGTGAAAGACTTTTAAATTGATGCATCTCACTGTCTTTCTACTCTACAGTGTTTACCTAGAATAGTTAGAAGTATGCTCTATTTTCATATTTCCAGTTGAAGTCTTCTCCGTGGCTGAGCAGATCCCCTCCCAAGGGCATAACCTTCAGACTTCCCCACCAATCAGAAATGACTTGGGAGGTTGTAAGGTTCCTGGTCGAATTTGACATTCGACCAACGCCCAGAGAGACCAGCAGACCTAGAAAGAGGACTAGATGTGGACCGGAGTGTGACGTATACAGGATGCAGTCAAATGCGTGGTTGGGGCACATCGATACTGTCCCTTGACACTTTCAAGAGAATGACGTGAGAATTTGCGGTGATAATGATAGCAATGGCTGTGATGTAGTGGAATGTCCCGGAATGAAGTATTTGCCTATGAATATTTATGTCTGAGTATGAATATTTATATACAAATGATGCAAAGTGTGTATGGAGGAGTGGATAAGGAGTGTATAGTGTTATAGGAAAGTTAGAGTATAAAACACTTCGCGACCGCTTGAAGCTCGCCCAACGGTGCCCGCTGGAAGGTCCGGACAAATGACTTTGCTCCGACCGCCCTCAGAACGGCGAGACCTCTGTGAACGAACGTGCCCAGAGACCTGAGACGAAGCTGCAGAAGACCCTCATTCTCCATGAAGTAACCCTGAGGCTTCTGAATGCCGCTGCATTCCCCCGCCGACTCCTGTGTTTACCTCATCCGAGAGGACAAGTCACTGTGAGCCATCGAGAGGGGTTAGCGATAGAGTAGTTAGGGTGATTGCTTGCAAGTCCGGTGAGGTTTGCCTCCCTTAAGTGAAATTACTAATGTGATGTTTGAATGAAATAGAATGTGTGAAGTGACCACAGTCTAACACTGCCTCAAATAGAATTTATTGGGGGAATCTCTGAGAATGTCCGTTCCCGACAGATGTCCTCACAAGTCTTTTTACACCAATTAGGATAAACTTGTATTTCATAGGTAAATTTCCTTTGCCTTGTTAATGTGAACGGTTAATGGATTTCCTAGCATTGCTAAGATTTTAGCTATAGCTCTCTCTCCACTCACTCAAATTCCAAAGCATTTCAATTCTGACTTCCAAAGGCATAGATGGGGATGACTTCCATGTGCTTTGGCTACCATGAACTTTCAGACTGAGTAGTAGCTACTATCCCTCAGCTGTGGACTCTCAGAGTTGGGGAGGCGGCAGGGGAGAGAGAAGAGAGAGATTGCTCAAAGTCCAAACGGGTTGGAAAGCAACCCAGAGGGGCTACACTGGGGAGTAATGTGTAGCCCCAACTCAAAAGCATTCTCCCATTTATTTTCAAGTTCAAAGAAGGTGGGTGAACACCTAGGGAATGCTAGCCACCTAAGGTGGAGCCACCAGGGGCTATTGCCTGAGGGGTCCATTGTTGCCTCTAGTAAAGCATTTTACCTCTATTCTTACCTAACTTTCTGTTAATCTTTACATTTTAGCTGATCTTGCTAATCTAGCCATAGTACCTGCCTGCAGTCTTCAGCAGATACTGGTTCCCTAGTACTGTTCCTCACCAGGGCTTAGGGTGCCTGCCTGTTTGCATGTGTTACTGACCAGCAAAGAACTCAGGACACCAAAACAATAGCCTCAAGAACAAGGAGGGCTGGGGACCCCACATTCAGGAATGTGGGTGCCACAAAATGGGGACACATAAGATGGTGGGCTTCTACTCGCAATGTTTCAAGAAGTGGTTCCAGTGGTCTGATGCAGCAGTGTTGAAGTCAAAGTAATCTTACTCTTGGGGAGACAGAGAAACATTCCAAGAAAGAGCAAGAGTTCAGGTCTCTGCAGGTGACCCATTTCTAATCATTAGCCCCCATATGGGTTTTATTTGAAGTTGATCTGTATCAATTTTAGAACTGATATCCGGGTATCAAGTGTGCATTTTTCAAACACTTTTACTCACCCACAAAAAGACGTTCACTCGAATCTTACTAAGGTTTCGTGGACTTCAAATTCCAGGTTCCCCCACAAGTTGAAAGGTCGGGGAATTGTAAAGTAATTGAATTACTCTCCTTCCAGATCCTTCCCGGGGTCTGAAGAAGGAAGCTTCTTTTGTGAATAGTTCTGTGGTTTCTCAGGGCAGAGTCGACGAGTTGGAGAGTCTAATTTTCTGCGGAAGAGGAGAAATTCATCTCTCTCGGGGTTAGATTCTAGTCCTGTTTATTTTCTTTTCGAGGGAATGTTGGAAGGAGAAATGAAAACACATGAAAAGAGACAAAGAAACATTACTTAGTAGTTAAAAGGAACTAACAGAAAAATCACTTTTAGAAAGGGAAAGAAAATTTTTCCTTGTTTAAACAAACCCGGAAAGTCAACAAAGTTTCCACTTTCCAAAGGGAAAAAAAAAAAAGCAACTTACACGTGGCCGGTTAGCTCAGTTGGTTAGAGCGTGGTGCTAATAACGCCAAGGTCGCGGGTTCGATCCCCGTACGGGCCAGTACGTTTACCTTTTCATATTGAACTTGTGAGGCAGGCACTTCGTGTCTTGCTCACTCAATAGTAATAACTTCTTTGTCCTCCCTAAAAGGGGGATGTGGGATGAAAAAAACACCCTGGGGAGGAAAGTGATGTAAATCCTCAAATTTAAGTTTTAGTAAACAAAATGAGGATAAAGAGGACAGATGACATTGGAGGGGGAGACGTGCATCTGCCCGTCTGTGGATCAGGTTTCTTATCCTTTTCCCACAGTCAAGTCCACGGTATCTCCGTGTGGCCATTTCGTGGTTCATTTATCTGTTTGCCTCCTCCTCCCCTGCGCTGATTTTTCAATGCTGTAGACATAAAAATTCTTTGTTAAAATATTCACCAGAATACACAAGCATATTTTTCTTTCCTTTAAAACAAACAAACAAAAAATTTAAATTAGCAATTGGTTTCCACTAGAATTTCTGTACAGGAGGACAGATCCTGCCCACCGTCCCCCAACCCCCCTTCAGGACTGAAAACAACTCTGAACACATAATAGTCACATTTGTGAGGTGGTTGCAGCCTTATCATCAGTGTGTTTTAAAATGTTGGGCTTTTGTTTGCCAGATCTGATTGCTACTTCCATATAAAACAACCAAAGTCTACCAAAGTCACCATTAATGGCAAAATGTGGTTGTAAAACAAATACACACATATGTAAATAAAACCAAACAAAAGCAATGTGGTTGTAAAGTTCATATTATTATAAAGAATTTCAGAAATGGAAAAATAAATGGCAAATGTAATTCTAGGACAAAATGAAATTTAGTCTTATCAGAGCTGACATCTGAGTTAGCATGTCTAAAACACCAGTCTCAGTTTTTCTGTGTTAGAACTGTTACACCCATCTTCCCTATTTCAGCTAATGGCAATTCCATCTTTTCAATGTTTTCAGCCAAAAATCTCTAGTCGCCATTGATTTCCAGTTTCTCTCACACCTCACTTATACTTTCAGGAATCTCTCCTCCCTCACTCTTTACAATATATCTAGACTGTGACTACTCCTCACCACCTCTAGTGCCACTATCCTGCCCAAGTCAGTCTTCACTGATGTGTAGCATGATGAAAGGCACTTAATAAATCGCTTAGCTTTCATTTTGTCCTTCCATACAAAATGTTCTCCACAGACTTGGGACAGGGACCTTTTAAAAAAACTGGAGTTATGAAGAAAAAAAAAAGCAAAACAAAACAAAAAAACTGGAGTTATGTCAGGCGCTTCAATGCTTAAAATCCAGCGTCTTCTCACTTTATCAGGGGTAAGGCCAAAGTCTTTAAAAAACGACCTAACCAGCAGGGGTGGGGAACC